ATGTAAGGCCAACAAGCCATCTTGTCCAACTGTATCTTGGTACGTCGTAGCGCTAGCGTTCACTCACTGTCGAAGCCGGCCCTCCAGCCTCCAAAGTGTGCAAAGGTCAGGCCTGGGCACGGTGCAGGAGCAACACATTGAACTCATTGAGGAAACTTAGTGACAACCCTCCAGTGCAAACTCTCGTGAAAACTCGTCACAGTTCGTTCAAAAAGGATGAAATTGCCATGTTGGAAACATCCACAACACAGGTCCCCTCCACGACGTACGTGCTGCAGTAACCGCCTTTTTTTTACGCGCCATGCGCGGCAGGCATTGTGTGATCCAGTTGGAGGTTGGATGGCTCACTCAAAATGGACCTGAAACTAGGTGTTCTCAAAGTTTCATTGGAAACCTCTGGTGACCAACAGAATCCAAAATTTATCGTAACGATAAATTTTGAACACTCTGGATTCCCAATTTTTATCGGGGCGATAAATTTTGGGCAGTCCTGATGCAAAATTTATCGGGACGATAAATTTTGAGCAATCCTGGATCCTAAAATTTATCGTAGCGATAAATTTTGGACAGTTTTAAATTCCAAAATTTATCGTAGCGATAAATTTTGTATATCCTTCATTCACAAATTTATCGTACCGATAAAGTTTGGACACCCTGGTTTCCACAAAAATATCGGAGCGATAAAGTTGGGTCAGCCCTGATTCATTTATCGGAACGATAAATGTTGTTTAGTCCTGGATTCACGCAATTATTTTATCGATAAATGTTGGCCACCCTGGGTCCCCAACGATTGTCGTGTCGATTTGAGGACACGTGTACTGTGATGATTATGTTTTGAAACATGTCGATACCACTGAATCACCCTGATGTGAAATGCTGCTCAACCCACCTAGATACAAGCATACACGTGAACCTTCAATCCAACCTCCCTGGCATGACACGTGGCCTGTGCTGCCACCACCGCTCTGTCTCACCTTCAGATCACCTATGCAGATGCGGAGTACTTGAGGGGTTGTTTGAGGTTTGAGCTATGGAGAATGGGTGTACCTCACCACGCGAGACAGTGGCAGGTCGAGAGCGGTGTTGTGCAGATGAGAAAAGGTGTGCGCAGTCCTTCAAGTCCAAGTCCTTCAAACTGCACCACTCACCCCCCGAGACATCTGGGACTTGTACTGTTGGAGTTGGAGTTCATGGAGGGTTGGATGGACCTGATGTCCAGTGGATGATGTGATGCGCATACATTGCATATTCTGTTGGCTGCCTGGCATGGAGCCATTCCATGCTGTAGAGAAGTGCGAAGCATTAACATTGTAACTTTAAATGGCGATGCGCCTCCAAGTCGCTCGTACCAGGCAGCCACTCATATCATGTCATGATGTCGCGCGCTGTGGTGGAAGGCGTATGGCCAAGCTCGAACACAATTTGCTGGGATGGCAAACAATTGTTTGTTGAACTATGTAGGCCTATGGTCAAGATCGAACACAATTTGATGGAATGGCCAACAGTTGTTTGTTGAACTATGTTGAACTAGGTTTCACCTCAGCACCTTTTCACCTCTAGCCATCTAGCTGTCAGATGAGGCCTGGTGTTTGCCTTCCACCACCCGCCGTGCCACCCGAGCCAAATCCTGCACCGCCGATAGGGCGGCGCTCCAGCCACCATCGCCGCCGGTCTTGTCCTTGCCCTTTGCTTTGCCGCCCTGCTCCTGCTCCTTCTGCCGAGCCTGCCATCCTTTGCCCGGCGTGCGCTTGCGAGTGCGGCCGCTGCCATACCTGAGACGATCGAACGAAGATGACAGGGCCCTGATGAAAAGGCTCGTAGCTACAGGGCCTCCAGGCTCGTTGAACAGGTTAAACATCTATAGGTCGTTGAACTACGGCTCATCAATGGTGCATGGCTGTTGAACAATGTGACAAACAGTCAAACAGTTGAAAAGGTTCGGACTAACGGCTCATTGAAGTTGCGGGGCTGTTGAACAATGTGACAAACAGTCAGTTGAAAGGTTCTATATACATTCCAGGGTACGGGTAGAAGTTGCCGGCCACATCGCGGTATCCTCCTTCGACGTATTCGCCTCCCCACTCATCTCGGTGGCCTTTGCCCTGGCCTTTGTTCTGGCGCCAGCCGTGCTGCGCCCAGTGTGGCTTGTTGCGCTGCTGCCACCCACGATGCTGCCAGCCACCATGCTGCCAGCCACCGCCACCGCCCCACTTCCCTTTGCCATCGCGTCGCCATGGGGCGGTGTCATCATGGCGCTTCCAGCCATGATTCATCTCATCGGCCTCCACCTCCTGATCGTCTTCTTGATCCTCCTCCTCGCGGCCCTCATCGCCGTTGTCGTCGACGATCTCCTCCTCCGGCTCCACCTGCACCTGCTCCACCGCCTCCTCGGCCTTCATGGCCTCCTCCTTCTTCTTCACCATCTTGGGCCTTGTGCCCTTCTCTCCACCACCTTCACCATGCCGCTGGATGTAGTCACCCAGCTCCGCTTCCTCCGCCCAGATCTCCATGGCCTCAGCCAGCGGATCCGGCTCCGCCGCCTCTGCCTTCTCCCTCACCGGCTTTGCGAGGATCTTGAGGGCGTCGCCGGGCTTCTGGAAGTCCTTGAGCTCGTGCGGCTGCAGGTCGGCCTGCTTGTCATCCACCTTCTTCCGCCTCTTCTGCTGAAGAACGCCGCCACCAGCGTCCGCGTGACGCTTCTTCACATTCTGGGTGGCTGCCATGGATCCCTCCGCCATGCGCAGCTCAGATCGAATTGGGGTGTGCCGCCAAGTGTGGAATGTGTGGAAATTGGAACTGTGATGAACTGTGGTTGAGGGAACTGTGATGAACTGTGATGAACTGTGAACGTTTGGATGCATCGTGAGTGGTGGTGTGAAGTTGTATAGTGGACCTGGCACTCGTGGGAATGTGTGAGTATATGAATTCTGGCGCAGTCGTTAATGAGGTATCCTATAAGGACATCGGGCGTGTTGAACAGGAGTGGAGTATTTGGAGGCTAATCGTTGGAATCATTGGAGGTACCTGTGCACTGGTATAGGCTCATACACATCATACAATGGCACATGTATCACGTCATACATGTATCATCACATGAAGACATGAAACCATGCCATGCCAAGTTGGCCCATGCCAAACATGGCATCCGTCTTGAGCAGACGTGCAATAAGGTTGATGCGCAACTGTCCCAATGTGCTCAAAACTACTGTCCCAATGTGCTCAAAACTTTAATGAGTCTTCAAGTTTGGACCACAATCATTGACACTCCAAAGATTGATACAACGTTTGAAAGCGTTCAATACCTACTCAAAATCAAGCAAGCTTTTCCCCTTCTGGTCGACATCTAAAACATCTAAAAATCAAGCAGTTGAGGGCCCCGACAGTTGCAGAACGACGCCAATGGTAGGTTACAACCTCACGGCACGGTGAACGACACGGAATGCAAAGGTACCTGTGTATGGCCAGTGATCTAACGTCTGCCTGCTTTAGTGCCCAGTGCCACTCCCAGTTCGCCACTGACCGGGTGAGTTAGAACTTGATTACATTGACAGCAATTCAAACCTCAAAGCAGGGCCAAAACAACAGTGCTCGCAATTTTCCTAGCAGGGCCATACATCAGTGCTCGCCACACTCGAGGGATCCATGCCCTTTCAAAAACCCACTCAAAGGCCTCTGTGAAACAGGCCTAACTACTGCTAACATCAAAATGATGGAGGCTGGGGTCGACCTGAGTGCTGGGCACCTCCACATACTCAGGGCTCTTGGGCAGAGTGGGCTCATCCTCATAGAGCTGGGTTTCAGGAAATGAATTCCTTCGTTTTTTCTTTGGTGACGGGCTCAAAGGCTTCCCACGTCGAAGCTTCTTCTTTGGCGAGCTCCGCTTCTTCCGCGCAGGAGCTTGTCCCTCACCCTTCTGAACCAACGCGCGCATGTACGTGAGATTGTCATGGCTCAACTCCATCCACAGTGCCTTGGACTTCACCCCGAACAGCACCTTGACTTCGCGTGAAGGAAATGTTTCACCTTTGAACTCAAGCTCTGGGAGCCAAATCGTCACGACAGGATCAACCAAGCACACATCTTCATCACGCACTCGTTTCTTGCGGCGTTTTGTCATTGCTGCCGCGTCATCCACCTCTGTTTCAGGCATCTCCATTTGTGCACTCACTGAGGCGACACTGGCTGTCTTTCTCAGAGACAGCAGATCCTCAAACAAGGTGCTGTTGGCCGACCTGCCAACACCTCGAGACAAATCCATGGGCCTCTGCAGACAGAACTTGACAAAATGGCGATCAAATTTGCTCAGCCTCACAAAATCCACTCCTCCCTGTGTGTCAATCTCAGGGTACCACTTCACTGTTCCTGATGTGAGGCACCATGTCGGCTTCATGACAAAGAAAGCTGGATCCAAGGGATTCCCCTCAGTCTCCTCCACTTCAATCTCACTGTCTGCATCGTCGGCCATGGGCAGTCTAAGAGCTGTGTGCGAGTCGAGTGACTCGACCCTGCCAAGACGTGCGAGCTTGAGATACGACAAGCCCTGCAGATCAAGAAACTCTGCAACACACATTCCAAGGTTTAGGAAGCTTTAGCTTTGCGGTGACATCACAAGCAAGCAAGAACTCTTGTTTTACTGTATAAGATGACAAGCTCGCCCACCAACAGTTCTTGCAATCACACTGTCACTAGTTACTGTCAAGAAATCATTGTTCACACGTCTTCATTTCTTCATTGGCCCTGTCTATCACACAAGGTTCCCGGCTCAAAGTCATGCGGCCAACCAGCCTCCAATGACACATACAGCAGTTTGTGCACCATGCACACTGCAGTTTGGACTCAGCGTTGCAAAACAATGGACACACCAAACTTCTTTAGACCCCACATGAACATTTGAGGACCCAGTGCACTCGTGTTTTTTCTAGGCCACAGCTCCTTCAAGTCTTGACCGCAAAAGATCAAACATTCAACGGTGCGCGGGTCGTCGAGACATCTCCAGCACCCTAGTCCTTGGCTTTGGTTCTGAAACGCTTGGCCGGGGGCGGGGCCTCAATGCGAGATAGGGCCTCTGGCTCATCGTCCACTTTCATTTGAGGCACGTACACAACCAGCTCATCTCTGTCACTCACAGCAACTGTGTTGTACATACATGGGACTTTGACTGAATTGTTCTCTGAACCCTGCAACTCTGGGCGAATCTCACAATTGGCCTCTTCAAGGACATGGGTCCTCTTCACCATCCAAAACGGCTGCAGGAAGGAATCAGTCAAGTCACCGTCCTTGGAATGCACGAAGGCGGGAAAAAGGCTCAAGGGCACACCTCTGATAGTTCCAAGAGAAATGCCAGAGCCAGTCTCCTTCGTTTCAATCTTCCACGTTGATGGGATGAGAACTAGTTTGTTCTTCGCAAAGGATTTGGTGGAGAAAACTGTCTTGGAAGGTTTCACCTGGAGTTTCAACCCCTCAAGGACTTTGGCGTGCTGATTCTCCAATTCAATGAGGCGCCTTGCCACCTCACCCTTGGAACACAAGCTGTTGATGGCATCTGAGTTGAGCCCGGTGTGGCCGGAGAACACATCAAAACCATACTGCACGGTTTCAGGATGTTTTTTGACTACTTTCCACTCTCCTCTCAAAAAGGATCCGGTCGACAGCTCAAAGTATCCAGTAACATCCTCTGCGTCCAAAGACAATTTGACCTTCGAGCCCTTCACATTCTCAATTGTGGCCCTGACTTTGTCCTTCTTTCGAACAATCGAAGCGCCCTGGACAAAACCGTGTTCTCTCACCAGCACGGCCTCATCCTTCAGCTTCCCAAACTCATCGTACTCACGGAACCTCAAGCTTTGACAAAGACTTGCGACGGCAGTTTCTATCAAATGAAACAGGAGCCTTCAGTTTTGACAAAGAGTTGTGACTGAACAATGCAAGGAATGCACTCTAATGACAGTGTTTTCATATTTGCTCACCAAAGGACACCGTTGTAAACACTTACGCGACGATCGTTTTGTTCCAATCATTCGACAAAAAAATGCTAAATGAAACTCTTGCTGAAACTGTCCGGTCGGCGAAGCTGCTGAGGGACCCGCGCTTCCTGCAGGAGGTGCACTGGAACTGGTCTTCCTATGATCATCGAACTCGGTGGAAAGCCGCGTGCCGAGAAGCTCCTCAAGTTCATCCATCAACTCACACGCCACGGATTCTGGAGTAGCCTTGACCTTCTCCAAGGCTTGCAACACCAGAGAGTCTTGGAAGGCTTCGTACTTTTCCTGTACATCAGTGCCCTTATCCTTGACATCAGCCTTCTTCAACATCTTCGAGATCTTGGTAGACATCTCTTCTGCGGTGGTGAGTTTCGGGCTGAAATCCTTCGACAGCATGCGCCGACAATCGCTGGCCTGCACCCTGTCTGATGTGTAGGCCAGAGCCAGCAGCATATGCCGAAACAAAAGACCCTGCACCTTCCAATCTTTGGAGTTCCCACTCAAGGCCATGTAAAAGTCTGCGCCCAAAGATTTCTTTGAGCTCACACTCTTCTTGATTCTTTCCTCGACCTTTCCCAAGAGCTCCTTGTGCATGAATCTCAGGAGGAATTGGTACATGTATGGTGTGGCCTCGATGCAAGCCGGTTTGGTTCTGCAGATCTCCTTCCGAACCTGGCTCCACTCTGGAGGAGGGGTGGACCTGTCAATCAGGCTCTTCATGCGAAGCAAGATTTGCCATTCATGCTCTCCCCTTTGTAAATGGCCACTGGTGTTGGAAGCTGATTGGATCAATTGGGCCACGCCATCTATCTCCAGAGCTTCTCTCGCAATCACCCTCCAAACCATGCCCTCCTGCGCAGCCTTGAAAAACTGTGGGTCATGGCTCTTGGCCCTGGCCATAGAGAGCCTGCCCTCAAGCACCAGCGCACACTCTGTCCCAATGTGTGCAACTTCATGGGCCAAACATCGTAAGGCAGCATTCGTATGTGAGTTTGCCAACGATGCATACCGCATTTGGGTTGCTTGGACAGGCGGCAGGAGGCCCCGAGAACTCGTCACCAAGGCTTCATTGAATCCTAGCACCATGGCATGATCTGGATCTGAAATTTCCCCACAAATTGGATTCGTCTCTCTCGAGTCCCACCCAACCTCCGACAAACCGTCCACAAGTGCATGGACGTCATGGGGTGACAAACCAAATCCGTCCCTGTTCATGGGGTGGCACCCCACTTCATCAGGTCTCAACTGTGTGGTGCGGACCAGACCGTGCTTGGCCAGCACATTCATGAGCTTGTGCATCGCTTGCACAAGTTGCCCATCTTGGGCCTGCGTGACACTGGCCTGGATCTCACTCAGTGCCTCCGTGCTCACAACCATGGTTCACACAATGAGCGTTCCTTGCAACTCTTTGATCCCAAAACTATAAGTCGGCGAGCTGCAAACGCATGCCCTGCACTCATGCAAAGGTTGCGAGTGTTTGTCCAACACCCTGCGCTCATTGTCTTCAACGTTTCCGTTCAAAATGAAACTGTTTGATGCCCTGTCAAGTGCAACCCAATCCACGTTTCAGGACGTTTTCTTTCAAAACTACAGGACTTCTTGCGCGAGCAAACGGTTTCGCAACTGTGGCAATCAAATGAGGACATGTGCATATATATATACAGGATTTAGAAAATGACATCTTCCCTAAGACATTCTTCAAGCAAGTCAGGACAGAAAAGAATCAAGCAAATTGGAAGGCGCGCCTCATCAATCTCGATGTCGCCAACGTTCACGAACCAGTGGGTGCATTGGGCCGGCGATCGGTGTGGAGTGCACGGTTTCATGACCTTGTATATTGTGCACGCTAGAAACACATTGTCAGAGACTTCAAAAATTGAATATGTGTGTCCCAAGATTTCCCTATACTGCTAGCAATTCGAAACCTAACTGTACAAAGGTACAGCTCCCCTTTCCATGGAATGAAGCGCATGCAACCGATCCAGCTTGATATGTTTATGATCGAGCGCGGCCCGGAAATTGAAAAAACCGATCGCGCGCGCCGACAAACACTTTCCACGGCCAGCAAAATCCAAAAAAAAACGATCCCACGGACCAAAAAAACACAATTTTGGCACGGTTATAAACCTACTTATGAGTAGGCCGAAGTCGTTTATCTTTGTTGTGTAAACAAGACAGTCACGTTTAGCTAAGTGCGCTAAACAAGCCAACGCGATTAGCCCACTTCAAGTGAAATGGGCTAAACACTATTAAAAAAGTATTTTCCATCTAATAAATAGTTAGCAGGTTTGCCAACCATTTATCAAAAACCTAACTTTTTTAGTAAACAGGACAGTGTGGTTGGACATCTTAACCATGTTTATAAATCTGATAACCCATGGTTGCCTCAATTGTAACCATGGTTCCGGCGTTTATGTAAACAGGTTCAATCGAGACAGAGGCTTAGCAACCACGACGGGCATCCAAGTGCTCACCTTGGATTCAACTTGATTCAACTGGGATGATTTATAACATAAAAATATACAGTCGCTCTAATATATATATACATTTCTTTCCAAGGTTGACTCTCGTAGCTACGGTGGTCCGCACACAGTCCCTTTTCCTCAGTCATCTTGCCAGTATGGTCTTCAACCTGCCATGTCCAGCAGGATAATTGCGTTGGGTTACCTGCATCAGCAGGCCTGACACAATCAGACCCTTGTGGTATCCTTCCGGTCACTCCGGAAACCACTCCCAATGCACTTCAAATCCTCCCAACGCACTTAGAGAAATTCTACGACTCGGATCACTGCTGGCAGCGGAAGGTGCCAAAGGCAGAGAGGGCAAGAGACGGAAAAAGGGGTGAATCCGTTGGTTCGCCACCACGGATCGGACCAACCTAGTCTTGAAATGGCGTCGGCCCAATTACTCTTAGACGGAATGTATTCCCAATACATCCAAGTACGCAAAGCGTACAGCATGACATGAATCAAACCACACATGCGCTCCAGATCGGGTGACTGGGAACGGCCCCGGATCAGACACATGAGGCTAGCGACGTTATCGATCAGCCAGATGCCTCGACGACCTCGAAAGGTCTGCGCCCGATATGTGAGGGCATAAATGATCATCACCATCTCCAACTGGGCTATCTGCCTGTCACCAGGCTCCCACAGCTGGTAAACTTCCGGAGAAATGTGGGCGATGAAGGCTTCCCGAACCGGTCCCACCGGATCGTGCCAGACGATTAAAAATCCTCCTGTGCCCTGCTTTGGTTCCTCCAAAGCTGCGTCAGAAGCTACAACAAACCGCAAACATTCGGACGGCCTCACAGGAAGTTCGCGACAGGGTCGATGGCGAAGGATGGAGTGAATCACATCGAAGTTGCGCTGAAGCTCTGGAGTGAGGTCGCGGTTGCGCTCTGTCTGGCGTGCTTTAATGGCTGCCAAACCTGCGCATCCCAACCTTCCGTACATGCCCTGCTCGAGAAAATTGAGCATGCCGTAGAGCTTGGATGCCTGGCCTGAGGACAGGCTGTTGTGTGCCTGTGCATCGGTCATCATCGCAGCTGTCTTCTGAATCAATCGATCTCGAGCCCAAAACGTCACGAAGCCCCGGCTGAGGTTCGTAAAGTCGTGATCAAGGCCCAGAAAGGTACCGGTAGGCTGCATCAACTGTTTCTTCTCCTCGGCAAACGGGGTACCTAAGAGGGAGTTCAACTGACAGAAAGCTTGTTGGCTGGAGCCGAATCCTGACTGGAGGTCCGTGATGTGGGCATCATCGAAATAGAGCGACACCAGACTGTATGTAAGCCGTCGGCCCAGGGCTTCAATGAGGCGGGAATACCGATTGAACGATGTAACCGCGAGCGGAAGGCCGAAGAGGAGGGATGAATACACCTGAAAGGCGGGTTCCCCCGCTCAGCATGCCAGAAGCAGACGATACAGCCGCGGCTCTCTGCCTGACTGATAGGGGAATGCCGATAAGCGTTCGGCCAATCTTCCCCTCCTGACAGCCACTCGTCAGCAGTCGTAAGAGTGTGCCACTGTTTGTCTGTCAACAGTGAAGCGACCGCCCCCACATGTTGTGCTGGGCGCAGCGGCGAGCATAAAACCAACTTGTTCCAATCCGAAGACCTCTCAGACTGGCCTCCTGTATCTCCATTGTCAATGATCCGCTTTTTGCCCGAGGATTGGACAATCACACATCGGGGGATGAGGCGGAATGGTTCTCCTCGTAGTTCTCGTAGGAGCTGCGCATGGGTCAACGGTGCAGAGCAGAAACCTTGGGCGGCATCGTTCAGCGATTGCTCCAGCAGCACGGCATCATGTCTGCCGGGTTTGAGCGAGGCGGGGGTCTTGTAATTGTGGGTTTCCCAGTCGTCGAGCGCGTCCTCCATGGTGAGGATACGACCTGGCTGCTCCGGAAAGACCCCGTAGGGTGGTGCCGTACCTACAGCTGGCAGTCCCGCTACCAAGCCGTAAGGGTACGTGATATCCGCCCAGGACGTTAGGGTCACCAAGAGGGCTGTGAGTCCGATGTCCCTGGAACGGGTGACTGCCCGAATCGCTGATGTTTGGAAAGTCCGCAGGTGCTCGCCCACGCTCCTCCATCGCTGCTTCAGCTCCTTCAAGATGCCTAGGCTCTGCTCGCGGAGTCGTGGTAGGTCGTCGGAACGTGATGCATAGAGTTCAGCCACAAACCATAGATCATCGTCCAGAAGGGGCGACTGCTCGGTCGGGATGGGTGCCTGGCTTCGAAGGCAAGCACGCTGAAAGTGGGTGTCCGGGTCCAGCCCAAAACTCAAAAGCGGAGGTAGGGCGGCTTTATGGCTCAAAGCTCCGGCTTGCTGGCCCTCGGCATGACGTTGCCGCTGCCTCAAAGCTGCGCTAGCCAAATGTGGTCCCAGGGGTCCATCTGCCTTGAGATCGTGCTGGTCTCTCCAGCGTGGAAACTCGCAGAACGGTGCCTGATTCAGGAGGTCTTCGACTGGAACCATGTACCTGGGAAGAGGCGGCGGAAGCACGTGACAACGCCTTCTTGGGTGAATTGGCCCACTCGTGCTGGGATGCTCGCAGCCACTCCGCGGCTGGAGATGACCCCCAACCGCAATGCTCGAGATGCTGTCGAGTGATGCCTCTGGGCTTGCCCGCCTGCCGCTGCCAGGTAGCGAGGTGCTTCCGGGGCTGTGGCGTCAAAAACCAACCCTGCCAGCGCATCGGCTTCGCAAACGTCACTGTCATGTGGGCAATCACAGGCTAAGGCGCAGCCCGCCAGCTCTGGGAGTTCCGCCGCCTTGGATGACATGATGAACTCAACATAGCAAGGAAGCCATTCATCTGCGGTACAATCATGTCCTGGGGTGTACGGAGAGCACCATTTCGACAGGGGTAACTTGTGGCTGTGATGCCCTCGCCCTACGTAGATGCACTTGGCGGGAAGGTGGCCATCCACCAAGAGGTCAACTGCTCGGCGCACGCGAGGCACTCGTGCACGCTCGCGCGGGTCGATTGGTCGCAGGCCCAGCTGGATCGCCAAAGGAGTCATAGCCCAGCTGCGCATCGAGCGGGGGTCATAGTGAAGCCAGTGCTCCCGGCGGCCCACAGCCTCAGTCGGCGGCATCCGAGGGACGCGCAACTTGGCTCGACCGACACGTACTGCCCACCAACTAGTGGACACCGCAATGGCGAAGGCCAGCGGGGCTGTGTACTCAGCTTCCTCATGGCTAGGGAAGACTCGCTGCCCATCCAAGGTGTAGGGCTTCCACTCGTCTGGGTCGTGCTGGTGATGGCATTGGAGTGGCGGCCACTGGGAGATCTCCTGGATGTTGTGCCTGAGTCTCTGCTGCTTGCACCGCGCCCCCATGAAGCAACAGGCTGCGTAGCAGGTGTCCTGCCAATCGCCGGACGCCAACATCTGCTTCTCACGGGGCAGTTCCCAATGGAGGCTCCTCGCCGGATTCTCCCGCAGTGACACTCCACCACGATCGGCCAATTCCTGGATCTCCTGGAGGACAAAGTCACAGGCCTGGTTGTCCTTGGTCACTCGCCGAAGGTCACTCCCTCGGAGGTGTGGAAGGCCTGTGGGGTGTTCGTCTGACCGCAGGGGTTTCGGAGCGGGTCGGCCGTCCTCGAACTTCCTGGGAATCTCTCGAGCGCGGGACTTGGTGCTACAGTCCAACGCGGCACAGATGCAATCGGCTTGCTGCAACATCTCGTGAAGCTCTTGCTGAAACTCCGGGTGCGCGAGGTCATGTTGAGGGTTGATCAACCAGTCAATGGTGATGCATCTCCAGCCGCAAAAGATGAAGGCTCTGGTAAGCGGTGCATTGGGTCCTGACATCAGGTCGGCCATCAGGGGTCCCTCCCCTGATTGCGGCGGATCCTCAACAGACCCTG